TTTCAAATCCTACTACACTGCTGTGGTGGTCAAGACAGCATGGTACTGGTACAATGACAGACACATAGATCAATGGAATAGAATTGAGAACCCAGAAATCAGCCTATCTTCCTATGGTCAACTGATTTTTAACAAGGACAGCCTTTTTAACAAATGGTGTTGGCAAAATTGGAAAACCATCTGCAGAAAACTCAAACAAGATCCACACCACACAAAAACCAACTCAAAGTGGATCAAGGACCTAGGACTAAAACCAAGAACTATAAACTTCTTAGAGAAAAGCTTTTAAGAACCCTAGAAGCACTAATCCACAACTTGAACAGTCTTCCTTCCAAGCATTCTGAAAAACCTACAACCAGAAGAGGATAAAATAGATGAATGAGACCTTCTTCTTTTTTTTTTTTTTTTAATTTTGTGTGTGTGTATCGTCAAATCAGATCTGACTGGTACAGGAGGATATTGCGCCTCCTTCTCCGGCAGAGCGTCTGGTGGATTCGAACCGTGTTCCTCTGGGATTGCACTGCAGCTTCTTACCACTAGGCCACCAGAGCTCCCAGAATGAGACCTTCTAAGAATCAAATCCCTATGCACATCCCAAAACTTCTCCAACATGGTAAAAAGGGAAGCCACAGACTGGGAAAAAAATATTTGGTAATGACATGTCTGACTAGGGCTTTATATCAAGAATTTATAGAATACTCGAATGCTACAACAAGATAAAGGTAAACAACCCAATTGTAAAATGGGCATAGGATATGAACAGACACTTCACTGAAGAAGATATTCAGATGACAAACAAACACATGGAGAAATGTTCAAAATCCATAACTCTAATAGAGATGCAAATTAAAACAATTATGAGATATTATCTTACCCCAGTAAGATTAGCAAAATTTAACAAAGCAGCAAACAATAAATGTTGGTGAGGTTGTGGGGAAACTGGAACCCTTATTCACTATTGGTGGGAGAGTAAAATGGGGCAACCACTATGGAAGGCAGGATGGCACTTTCTCAAAAAGTTGAAAATAGAAATACCATTTGACCCAGCATTTCCATAACTGGGAATATACCATCAAGAAACCAGAACTGCCACACAAAGAGATATAAGCACACCCATGTTTATTCCTGCTTTGTTCACAATAGCAAAAAGTTGGAAACAACTCAAGTGCCCATCAACAAACAAATGGATAGAGAAGCTCTGGTATATTCACACAATGGAATATTATGCAGCAGTGAAAAGCAAAGAACTCATGAAATACTATACAAAATGGGTGACCATGGAGGACATTATGCTGAGTGAAATATCTTAGTCACAAAAAAGACAAATACTGCATAATGTTACTGTTCTAGAACAGGACTGATAAGGGGATTGGGGGAAAACAGAAAAGAGGGAATAAAGTGCATGCATTGAAACAGACAAGGGAGAAAACGCTATAAAAGGAATATATGATTAGGTATTATTGGCATGACAAGAAAGAAAGGAAGGAAGGAAGGAAGGAAGGAAGGAAGGAAGGAAGGAAGGAAGGAAGGAAGGAAGGAAGAAAGAAAGTGAAAATCACAAAGAAGGTGAAGCGGTGTAGTTAGGCAATAGGTGTTTTAATTAAAGATTCTCACCACTGGGCTGTTTGACAGCATCATGATAGACGGTGAAGAGACTGAGATTGTTGACAGCTTCAATTTGCTTGGATCTATAATCAACACTCTTGGTACCAGCAGCCAGGAAATTAAAAGATGAATTACATTGGGAAAGTCTGCTGTCTGAGACCTCTCCAAAGTACTTAAGAATAACTATGTCAGTCAGGAGACCAAGGCGACCCTGATCTTTGCAATTACTTGCTACGCATTAGTTGGCTGGACAATGACTAAGGATGATAGAAGGTGAGTTGATGCCTTTGAGCTGTGGTACTGGAGATGAGTAATGAATATACCATGGACTGCTAAGAGAACAAACAAGTTAGTCCCGGAGAGGGTGAAGCCAGGCTGCTCCATGGAAGCAAGGATTCTGGGGCTTCATCTGACATACTTTGGACATGTTGCAAGGCAAGATCAGTACGTGGAGAGGGATGTCACACTTGGGAGGGTGGAGGGACTGTGCAGGAGAGGAAGACCCTCAATGAGGTGGATTGATTCAGTGACTGGGGTAATGGGGACAGGTGTGTTGGAGACAGTAAGATTGTCATGGGATACAGCAGGGTTTAGGGCTGTTGTACATAGGGTCATTATGAGTCACAGGCGACTCTATGGCACAAAACAACAACAACAACAACAATGTATTTTGTGTTGTTTTTAATTCTTTTTTAAAAAATTTTTTTTTAAATTTTATTATTTTTGTGTGCATGTACCGTCAAATCAGATCTGACTGGTACAGGAGGAGATTGTCCCTCCTTCCCTGGCAGAGCATCTGGTGGATTTGAACCGTGCGCCTCTGGGATTGTAGTTGCAGCTCCTTGCCACTAGGCCACCAGAGCTCCCCTTTTAATTCTTTTTAAGAGGAAAGAATAAATCATAAGGGGTTTTTTCAGCTAAGAACATAAGAAAATAATTTTTACATGCTAGTTATTTGTTCTGTTCTAGAGCTGACAATCTTGTTCTAATGAGGCATGCATGCTTACAAGAAGAATCAAAGAATTCCAGGGTTTAAAGGGCATGTAATCTAATCTCCTAGTTCAAGCAGAAATTCTTTTGAGTTTTAAAAATGATAGAAAATGGTTATATTTGTTATCTCCACCGCACCAGGCAACAAGTCAAACTTGTTTGTTCACAAAGACTAAATAATAGTTCTTTGAAATAATTCTCAACAGTTGGTTTTTGGTGAATGATATGCAAATATGCATGATTA